GCCATAAGATGACTGACAAGGGCAAAGCCAGGTAGAGACATATGTTAAACCACCCCCCTTCTCACCTTGCCATAAGATGAATGGAGTGACAGAGGGAAAGCCAGGTAGAGACATATGTTAAAGCCCCCCCTTCTCACCTTGCGATAAGATGAATGGAGTGACAGAGGGAAAGCCAGGTAGAGACATATGTTAAAATCACCCTCCCTTTTCCACCTTGCGATAGGATGAATGGAGACAGAGGGAAAGCCAGGTAGAGGCATATGTTAAAACCACCCCCCCTTTCAGCCTGCGATAAGATGAATGGAGTGAAAAAGGCAAAGCCAGGTAGAGACATATGTTAAAATCTCCCAAATCTGAAACCCAAAATCCTAAACCCTAAATCCTAGACCGGAAGCCATAATTCCTAAACCTTCCCTCACTAGCCTCTCCCTGGTTGCTCTTGCTTTGCTTTGCACCACTGGGGAAGCCCCTGCGCGAGAGAAATCTTGCAAGTTACCAGTTCCAGTTTACAACTCTCAGCGCGCAGTAGTTTCCGAATCCGTGCGCAGTAGTTTATGAATCCGCGCATAATGGTTTCCGAATCCGCGTTTTTTAGTTTCCGAATCCGCGTTTGTCAGTTTCCGAATCCGCGCTTTACAGTTTCCGAATCCGCGCGCAATAGTTTCCGCATCCCAGTTTCCGAATCCGCGTTTTCCAGTTTCCGAATCCGCGCTTTTAGTTTCCGAATCCGCGTTTTTAGTTTCCGAATCCGCGTTTTTAGTTTCCGAATACGCGTTTTTAGTTTCCGAATACGCGCGCCACCCGTAATTGGGTGCAGCGCGGGTGCGAGCTGGAAGGCAAGTCTGAAAGGATGGGACCCATCCTGCTACATAGCTCCGACTGCGCCCGGCATGCTTTGCTCTTTGGGCATACTGCAAAAACAAAAGAAAAAGCACACCGGTGAGAACCCATGTCGGGATCTGGGGTATATGTGCACTGCAGGGGCGAGGGCATCCTGGGCCACTTGCCTGTGGAACTAGTCAAGGACAAGGGGCCCCGTGCTCATCGGGTCGACCTCTTTGCGCATACAAGGAGGCTTTCCCAACAGGTACCCAGTCCACGGTGATAAGCTTGCGTCCATTTGCGGGCTGTTCGTTTTCATTTGTTTTCACGCAGCCTCGATCTGAGCAGGTGCACTTTTCTCCTCTCTAGGGCCGTCACATAGGATGGTTGTGGTGGTAGGCTGCTAGGCTGTGGAATGTGAAGCTCCAGCCAGCTGGAGTTTTGCGTTTTGCAGAGGTCCCAGTCCATCCAGCCTGGAATGTGAAGCAGCAGTAGTATGAGTGTCTTAGGGACGTGCACTGCGCGCCACAGAAGTTGTTTCTGAGTTGTGGAAGGTTCGCCGGCCTGGCCAGGAACGTTCCTTTCTGGTGGCTCCAAGCGGATCCGAATGACAAGTAGGTAACCATTGAGCAGCTGTCTGCGTGTCAGCTGGCACAGGAGCCCCGTGCGCGGGGAGACCAACGCAGCAGCCCAGAACAACTCGCGGCTTCCAAAAGACGCCAGCATTCTCTTGACCACAGAGTTCAAGGGGCCAATAAGAAGTCGGCGAAAGCAAGGTTCAATCATCATTCAGAAGCAACATCCATAGCTGAAATCTGCAGGGAACGGGGAATGGGTACTGTTCGTGCCGCCGACCGTGTTGGCGAGGCGGCACAGTAGGGCTCCTGGCACATAAGTGGCCAATGTGACACTTGGGGCCACATCGGGGCAGGCGAGGCACGAGCGGTCACCAACGCGTCAGCCGGGCGACAAGTTCTTCAACATGTCTCCAGCAAAGACCGCGTCCTCGAACCGGAATTGTAGCTGCCCTGGCGGTAGACGCATGAACGACTCCAGCGGACTCGCGTTCCTGCCGCTGGCTTTCTGGTGTTGAATGTGAAGTTTGCTGTTTGTTGGAAAATGTTGGGAACAGGAGCCCGGGATTCTTGGATGCTGGCAAGTAGTATGTCAGACATGTTAGACCTGTAGGTGGATTTCCTTTCTGCTACGGAACATGGGTACACAGGCCATGAGGCCGCACACCCGCGGCTGAGAGCAATAATTGTTTTGGATCACAGCGTGCTACTTGCACCAGCCAGTTGGTGCTGTTCTTTATGCAAGCAGCTGTGAGCAAGACGCTTACGTTGAGCTGCTGCAAACATGGGATTTCCGATAGTACCGCTGCGGACTCAACATTTTCTTATTCCAAGGTATGGTTCCTGTTCTGCGGAGTAATCGCCAGTCTTGATAGATCGCTTGTGTCCGCCAACCTGACAAGACGTCATGGTTGTCACGCCCCAATCCTTATTCGGTGGGCTGGGAGAACTTACTTGAGAGCAGCCGGTAAGACGCCGCTGCGCAGCTTGCGATCAGAAACTTCTGGATATCTCCATGCCTGGCCAAGTTTGGGAAGCTGGAGTCCGGACGCGACACCCTGTGTGCATTTGACACTGATGGCTCAAGTCCACCAAATGCAGAGTTGACAGCAGCATGGGGCTCTTTCTATGGAGCGCTCCTCAATCTTATCACGAGATTGATTGGTAGCACAAAATTGGACCAGCTTCATACTCAGTTCTCAGGTCCCTGCTGCTGGGAGCAAGGTCAGTCCCCGCCCACTCGTCTTTTCCTTACTTCAACCGTTTGAAACAAGTGCAAAATACTCTGCGGTAAGAAAGGCCCTTTGCCGAAGACTGGAGCGGCAAGGACTTGCCCTTGCTTCATGCCCTGACACATCTGTACAGCCTTGCTTGCCAGGATGTAACTCTTCGGGGTCTTGCTCAGACTCAGCACACATGTTCCGGCTACGACGAGCAGTGGGCGGAAGCCTCAGTTGCAGGAATCCAGCTTTCATGCGCAACAACTTAGTCACGACAGTCCTCAGGACATGTGCCCGCAGCTTCCTTCATGTACGAGCTGCGAGCACGAATCCCAGCCGAACCTGCATGACACAGTATCAGCGGTGCTCAGTCCGCTGAGTTTCGTAACGCTGAAGGAGCAAACATGAACAGTGAATAGAGTAGAGCCGCTTCAAATGATATTGTGACTTTCTGCGTTCGTGCCAGCACTGCTAGCTTGCTGCTTCCCTCGAGCTGTTAGCAGAGAGAGAGAGAGTGTACCAGGCTGCGCCATTATTTGAGCAAGGAGCATATGAATAAGGGCCAAAACAACTCCAAAAAGAAGGTTCCCACAGCGTCCCTCTCTGTTGAGCTGTTGAGCTAATGCAGCACCTGCTCAAATGAGCTGTCCCAAAGATATTTCATGAATTTCCGCAGCAGCAGTGTCATTGTGTTTGACCGAATGTGTAGAAGCTAAGAAGTGACCTGATTGACCCTTTCAGAGCGTTCTGAGATATCCCAGTTTTGCGACTGCAACATCCCAACTGAGCGATCAGAGCACAAGCGTTTGCTGGCGCAGTACAAGCAGCTCGGGTCAAATGTTCTGCAGAGTTGTGAGCTTGCTTGGAGCAACGAATTGGACTTTCAAACATTCCTGCCATTTGTGACGCAAACTCGTGGCCTGAGCTGGATGCTTGGGCTGCTCAGCACTTAGGTCCACCGGTCCCTGGTGAGTAAATAAAAGTGCGATCTTCTGCATGTTGCACGCCTCCTTAGGGGTTGCTCCAGGGCTAGGGATGGCCATCGAGCTAGCATGAAGTGTGCTGCTGTTGGCTGGCTGGGTTTGTTTTTCTAGGTGTAGGCCGTTGCTGCATGATAAGCTTTTTGTTTTCCCAATCTTATACATTCTCGTATTTGGCCGTTGGAGACGTGGGAAGACGCACGACTGGCGGCTTAATACGGATAATGACAATTCCATTCGCGCTGCTGACTTGAACACAGATCCGAATTCTGAGTTGCCAATTTGTTTCAGTGCCGCCATAGGTCCTTTTGGAGATAGGTCTGTCCTGGCGGAGGCGCTGTTAGTCGCACAGCCTGGCTCTCCTTGCTCTGGGACACTAATGGTGCTATGGCAGTGAGGGGGTTTCGCTTGGAGTTAGAAGCTTTTGCTTCCTTCCCCTTTTCTTGCGTCATTCCTCCCGGCAATTTGTAGGATTGACTAGGATGGTTTCTCCCAGCCCGTTGGGTGAAGCCCGCTCGGATTGCGCGGTATTCATGCAAAAAAAGCTATGCTTTTTGTTTCTGCTATGATTATGCTTCTCTGGAGGTTGCATGCAGGTTGTGGTAGGGTGTTGGCTAGCGGCGTCTAGCGGCGTATGCAAGCGGAGCTTCTTGCTCTGGTGGACACCCCTCCCTCCATTGTAGTTCAGCAGGAAGGCTGAATGTGCAGGTACATGGAATTGTTTTGCAGCTGCCCGACCTTCTTACTTCACAAGCTGCAATGCAAGGCGAAGTACCAAGACCAGGCGGCTACGTTACTGTAAGTTACAATTTGTCCTAGAACAGAGTGTAGGTTCCATAGCTCAGCGCGTTTCGCGGCCAGATTCCGCTTGGGTTCCAGATGGCTTTGGTTCAGCTGTCTCAGGTCAGTTGACTGCGTCTTCGGGCAGTGGGGCACCTGGTTTGATGCTGGAGGCCATGACAGTTGCCTTGGGTTACTCCGTTTCTGAGTACAGTGAAGGTTTGCATGCCGTTTGCCCAGCTCGCAGGCTGCACGCAAATCCAGTTCAGACAGCGTGGCATTTCTGTGCCGCGGTGTCATTTGGAGGGAGGAGAAGCAACTGCAGGGAATGTTGACATGCACCTTTGATTTTCGATCTTGAGGTATCGAACAATGAATGTGGAACCCCCTGCTCTGGCGCGAAGATACAATCCCGCTCGAGCCCTGATGAAAGGCCGCTACACACTTGCTGATTGGCTTGAGGCACTTTGCATCAGCCTGCGCTGATTTTGCAGGTGCACCAAAGACGAGATAGACTGCCAGTGGGAGGCTTTCTCTTCCAATAGGAGTGTCCGCACCCTGGTATTCAGATAACTTGCCGGAGGCATGGTCTCAATGGTCTCGGTGTAGTTCACCAAACGACCAGTCCACTCGCCATCGCCTGAAGATTGCAAGACCCGCTTGTGTTCATGTTTGCCTCCTTCATAAGTACATAGTTCAATCGTGCGTGTGTGTGTGTGTGACATGATTGGTTGTCCGCGTCTGACTTGACATATATATACATATATATATTATCAGTGGCACATGCTGCTGGCTCTGCGAGAGCATTTCTTTGTCCTGACTGCATCTCTCCTTCTGCCACATCACGCTCTTTTTCCACAGTGCTTCTGCCTCCGCTCAACTGAATTTAAGCTGAAGCTGGAAAGCTGCCCAATGCTTCAACAATGCTTCAACATGAAGTACATGCGTTTTCGCTGTACGTACTTTCAAGGACTTTAAGGTCTACTTTGTTCTCTGCATGTCGCATGGCTTGGTTTGCTGGACTTGTTCTCCTGCAGGTTCGCGAAGCATTGGGCAGAGAAACTCTCGCAAAGGCCAGACTCTTCGTTTGCACAGTGATCAATTTCAGAGGAGCCGTGCAGGCTTGCCATGTGTGGGCGAGATGAAGCAGACGCAGCCGTGCCGTGTAGCCCTTAATGTTGCCACTCGCAGCTCCGGTTAAAACGTTGTGCCGTCAGGTTCTGGCCCCACACCGCAACATTGCATGATGAGTTCATGGCGAGAGTGGAGCTCATGCAGCTCTGACTGTGGTGCACCTGCCGACTTTCAATTCATGAGCACTCGAAGACTTAGTGCATGCCTCATCGTTCAAGAGGAATCGGAAGAGATTGCCGACTGAATAGCAGAAAACTTCAGGACTTTCGGGTTGCGACTCCCTCTGCCTCTGCCAATGCTAGGAGTTAGAGGTCAGGCATCATGTGTTCTCATTACTGGAGCTCGTCTTGACTTTGGCCTTTCACCGCACTCATATGCGAAGGCCCAGTTTTCGGGACAGTCACGAGAAAGATGATACGTTGCACACAGATGTGCGCACACTACAGGGGATGAGCATGGTTGAGCACGTGCACTGTTTGTCCGTGTTATGAGTTTTTTGCCCTGAGCAGATATGCCGGTTCAGTGAGTGAGTGACAGGTGAAGGACAGTACTCTCGCTATCGCCGTGTCATCCGTGAGGCTTCTCGGGGCTGCATCTGAGGGCAAGCTGGTGCACACCGCTGCAGCCTTTTCCCAGCCAGGCAAGCAAAGGTGGTCACCCTTGTGACGTGGTGGCCTCACAGGGATCTGCTGTGAAGTCATCAAGTGAAAGCTCTGCTCAGGGTGTTATCCATCAGACTGAGACGTGTCAGAAAAGGCTGGTGTTTGTTGGCATCTTTCACACATCTTAACACGGGGTCAGCACAACTGACAAGGCCTTGTGATTCACGAGACTGCGAAGTCAGTGAATGGTCGCAGTGGTCAACTTCAAACCCGCTTGAGGCAGGACGTCGGAGCTCGTAAGATGCGCGGAAGATCCAACTCACGCGAGCATTTCTTCCTGCAGGGACATGATCTGCACTCCAATAGGCAGTGGTGCCATCCTTAGTCATCTTCCTGCTGCCTCGTGACGGCAAATTAAATTTGAGTATCTTCAAGGTTTCGACAGCGGCGAGTGATTGTTCCTCCTGGTCCTGGTGGACGTCCGGAGCCAAGCATCGCAGGTCCGCGCGTCCTCAAGACAGCCTGCCAGGCCCTTGCCCAAACAGCTTGATCCAGACCGTTCCCAGGGACAGGCCAGACAAGAGCAAACATGAAAATTGCAGTTTGTCATGTTCTCTTGGCTGGGGCGTTTCTCTACGCTGTCTGGTGATAGACCGCAAGAATCTATTGTCTATATGCATAGGAATGCTTTGCCCTGCTACAAGACATGTCGTGAGATGCTTCCTGATGCTTGTTTTTATTTGCGTGAGCTGCTGGCGCCTTCAGGCAGCTTGTGTTTTTTTCTTCAGATGTGTTTGCGGCCACTTCAATGCCTGTCGAAGGGAGCCAGACGAGTGCGTTTTGTCTGCCAGTGCCTGATAAATTGCCAGCAATTTTTTGCATACTCCCGCCATGCGCTCGATGAGGAATGGTCCTTGTGGTCGCATTGTGACCGTACCTGTGGCGGCGGGCAGATGTTTAGGGAAAGGTCCCTGCAGGACTCCCGCTTTGCCAGCATGATCTGCATGATTCTTGATGGCATTAGCATGATGTGCTACGTTGTGCCTGGTTTGGTGAGCTGTTCAAGTATAGAAGAATCGGCAATATGTGCTACATACTGCCGTGGCGACTGAGATATACATGACATGCCGTGTCCACTGCTTACCATGTGGAGAGGTTGCACTGCGAATCAGTTCAGCATTCTTTGCGCAATGCACGCACAGATGTATATGGGCATAAAGATCCAAGCACCACGCCCACCATGCGCCTTGCCGATGCGCGTGCGGTGCTGCAAGTTGAGCCCGGAGCTTGTGTCCGCGTGGTGCGGCGGGCATACCGCCAGCGTCTTCTGCAGGCCTTGTTTTCGACTTTCTGCAGTGCACAAGTAGGTTGAGTGCCACTGCCTCAGTGACCCCCCGATTTGCAGGTTCATCCTGATAAAGGTGGAGACCCTGAAGCCCAGCCCTCAAACAAGCTTATAGTATTCTGCTTGTAAGATGTTATGTGACGACCAGACAGCAACTGGATTTGATTTAAGCTCGTAAGAAATGGTTCTCCCTAGTCATGTGAGCGGGACTTGTCAGGACTTCCGCCGGGTCCGATTGGCTGGGGTGCTTCTCTTGTCTCAAAGCCGTCATAAAGTTACTGGCTCGCAAATAGATGCAAATAGCACTTGAAGAACTCGGGCAGGATGCTTTAAGTCCCGATTGGCATCAAGCGACACATATTCCTTTTGGAACGCTGAGTATGATGGCAGTATTTGTTCTCGATCTTTGCACCAGTGTCCCAGCGCGTCAACTTTCATGCGGAGCTGAGGTTGTTAGTGCTCAGCATGCTGAGAAGAGGCCAGTTCGAAAGCCAGAGCCAAAGGCTTTCCGCCAGCCCAGCACTGGTTTCGCAGCTGCATGAATCAACCATGCTGCAATCATCCAACTGTTCCTTGCATTACAGCTAGCATCAAGGCTGAACTGAATAGGCATATGGCAAACATGGCTGGCCTGCACTGTTTGCCACGGGGACGGGCATGGACTCTGTTTAAATACCCTGTAACGCCCAGTCCCATACTGAACGGCTTCGCCATCATGCCCAAATTGAGGATCAAAGGCACCGCGACAGAATCCGTCGCGCCTGGCCAGCTTGTTTGAGGACGCGTGGCCGATTACATGCTTCTTCTCCATGAGAATCCAAGCAGCAGCTGTTGACTATGCAACTTGGTCTCTTCTCAGGATGGACCTGTCAAAAACCTGGATGCTGTGTTCGGCAACGGTGCGAAAGCACGAACTCCTTCGACACCAGGGGCACCAGTGCGCATAAAACCATCAGACACCTGGAATGTACTTGCTTCACTCTTTGCTGGGCTACTATTTACAGCGTTGCCCTTGGTATCTCAGCTTGATGAGGATGAGGCATCGAAGTTGGCCGTCTTTGTTGAGCGGTTGAAAACCCTGACGGCGCAGGACTTCCGAGCATCTCACTAGGAGAGCTGAGAACAACTTGAGGACAAACCTCAGAAATTATAGATGTGGCTAGTCCCTTCACACTCAGCATCCGAGAGTCATTGGTGACAACTACTTGTAGCAATTTTTGATGGGAAGCCCCGGATTCGGGAGGCCTGGAAGTTGAGAAGTGGCCCAGACGCAGAGGTTCAGTCCAAGATCTTCAAAAAGCGTCGTATGGCCTGCTTTTTTGGGCGGCCTATGGAAACCTACATTTCCATGGTTTCTGCGGAAAGACCAGGAATATACTTTTTTAAGCAGGCCTGCTATACATGTTTTGATTGCGGTGCAGTCAGGGGGTTTATCTTGATACGGTTTGTGCAGCACAAAGATGAGTACGGGGGAAAGAGATGCGAGAAGCGAATGGGAAGAGAGGAGGGAGGAGGGCCAAGCAGATATGCAAGAGTGTTGATGCGCGCTTTACGGCATTGGTTGTTGGACAGCCCCACCCGGCGCCCGGACTCCAGCCGTTTCCACACCATGTCTGGAAATCAAATCCGGTATATGTTTTGTGCTGCGCAAATCCTCCTCTATAAGACCTGATTACGACGGCACATGCACTTATTGCAGTGCAGCAGTGGCATCTTCGGCAAACAGTCCCCATGCTTTTAAGCATACGGCAAAGGAGCACAATGAAACGTAAAGTCACTATTAAGATCAACATCGGATTCGGAATCCTTTTTCAGACAGCTGCATCAGTATACAAAGGTACACAACGCGAGTCAAATGTGCTGACACCACTAAGACTGTCCATTTATAGAAAGTATACGTTAGATAAACCTGGCACCTGAGCTGATGGGTCTATTAGGAGCGTGTAGAGTTTACAAGGGCATCTCATGTCCATAAGGATGATTCTCTCAAGAATCTCAATGTCTGCATGTGTCAGAAGATAATATGTAACGACATCTCTCCATCTAAGATGCTAGGAGTTGTTCCCTCGTGTCCGTTTTTTTGCGTGAGACCCATGCGGCACTTCCAGCCCTGCAGAACACCCAAGTGATTCCGCAGCACAGAATTCATGCAACAGTGCGCGCATGAATCTCGGAAGTCCAAAGAACTCACAGTCCAACTTCCATGTGAAGATGACAGCGTGACACCGAACACAATGTGATAATATGTGATAGGATTCTAGATTAATCGGCATGCGAATCATCAGGTTTCTGGGGGAAACATGCATGGATGACACAGCACCAGGCTGTCATCACACAAGATTAAAAGGTAGTTGGCCTTCAGTGTGAGAAATTTCTTTGGAAGTCTGGAAGTCGGTAGCGGGGCCCTGGGGTGAGAGATCCCAGGGCTCCAGGAGCAGGAGCTTTCATTCCAACAATGCCGACTAGAGGCGGTAGTGGTGGATCTGCTATAGCAAACTAGGTCAGCCGGAAATGATTTAGGGGAAAAATTGTGCCAGCACTCAATCCCACGCAGTGCAACTACAAAGAGTTCAGGGTCTTCCCCAGTTCGCTGCTTTGAACCAGTAAGTTAAGGCTCCAACTAGACGTTGCCTGCGCCTCTTCGTCAGCGCTCCCGAGTCTCCCTGTCTTCGCCTCCTCGTCCTCTGCCTGAGCACTGCATGCGATTCCTCGTGCGCGCCTTGCACTTTAGACAGTCCAGCTCTGCTTGCCTGCCACCGCGCCCATTTGCCCTCGTTTCCCATCTCCTCATCTGCATCGGCAGCCTCCCCTCCCCGCCTGGCGGAGGACGCGGCCTCTGCCCTCCAGTCTTCTTTCCTGTGTCATGGCCTCTTCGCCGATCCTCCTGCATCATGCACTGTTGCAGCTGCTCGACGCGCTGTGCACCTGGCCGCTTTCGGACGACGCCTCGTACCTCACATGCCCAGGCCAGCCAGCGCCGCGACTAGCTCTGGTTCCTCCCGCGTTGAGCCGTCATGAGCGGCGTGCATTTACCGCATACTGCACTTTGCGCATGTGTGGGACCGCTTGGGGGGAGCTCCAATGCTCAGGCGGGGTCTCCCTGCGCCGGCCTCGCGAGAGGTCCCCAGCATGTGCCAGCTTGCCCTGTTCCTGGTTGCCCGTCTGGTGGGGTTGGGCCACCCACGCTTCCATGCGTGTGCATCTCGATGCCCTCGGCGGGAGCGGTGCCAAGTGCCAGATCCGTACAACCTCCCAATCATCCGAAGTGTCAAGAGAGATAAGGTCATTGACAGCCCAATCGCTTTCGGCGTCGAGTGTCCAAAGGCCAGCTGCGAAGGCACAGAAGAGAGTCCTAGAGAGAAAACGGGGCAACGCGCCGTTGCCGAGCCGATCACGCAGATCCCTGCGCAAAAGAGTGGTGGAGAAGATCGAGGACGAAGGCGTGGCCCCCGGAAAGTTGGCCCGAAACAACAAACTCACAAGACTGGAACGGCGCAGCATTTCGACGGACAGCCTGACTCAGTACTCCCAATACCTGAGCAAGTTCAAGGACTTCTGCAAGGAGAACGATGCAGGGGCCCACATGGACTCGGCCGAGGTAGATCGATGGCTAGCCGATTATATGGATGTGATGTTCCAGGATGGCGGCGGGGCATACGAGGGCGAGAAAACCCTCGCTGCCGTCGAGTTCGACAACATCTCCCTCAAGGGGAACCTTGTTCGAAGCAGGCGGGCTGTCAGGGGTTGGCGAAAACTGCTTCCTGCTACCAGCCGGCTTCCGTTGCCAAGACTCCTGACCATGGGCATCGCGATGCAGCTGTGCGCCGTGCGCCATGGGCGGATTCGGCATGGCTTGGATGGTGCTTGTGGCTTTTCATTTGTACATTCGCCCAGGAGAAACGATAGACTTGTGCAAGCGCCACGTGATAGCACCCATCATCATGGCCGGGAACCAGTTCGCGTGGATAAATGTGGTAATCAGGGATTCCGAAGGCCTGCGTCCGGACAGGGTCGGTGTTTTCGACAACAGCCTCCCATTCGACATTCCGAGCATGCAATGGGTGGGAGAGTTTGTGCTAGCAAGGGCAACCAGGGTGGCAGGAAAAGATGCCAGGATTTTCGAGTCCAGCATGGAGGATTTCCGAAAGAAGTTCCAGCAGACCGGGGCCAAGTTGGGCGTGCAAAATGTTCACGCCTCAGAGGACCTCAGTGCACGAGTCCGCGATTTCAACATGTTCAAGGTCCGAGGGAGGTGGAAGGCCCTCATCGTTTCTGCCTTGACGTTTTTGCCGGTTGTGCTCGGCTCACCGCTGCTCTCAACCAAAAAGGCATGCCAACGTATGCAATTGATTTGGTTCTGTTTCCTTCGCATAATGTTCTTGACCCAGCTGTTGAGCAGAGAATTTCAGGTGGATCACGGAAGGTCGTGTTTGGCTTGTATGGGCCGGCATGCCGTGTACAACTTTCTCTCGTGCCCGTAAAGATGACGGGCGAGGGCCTGGACCTTTGCGTGATGATCAACACAAATGTGGGCTACCTCTTCTCAGTAAGGTTGACAGAGCAAAGGTACAGAATGGCAACAGTCTTTGCGCTTTCTTCATGCGTCTGCTGCGGGTGTGCGAGAAGTGCCAGGTCCCTTACCCTTACGTAGTGGAGAACCCTCGTTCCAGACTACTGTGGGATATGCTACCTTTGCAGCGCTTCATCACATTTTATGGCTTTTCATCATGCTTCATAGTTTTCATCATCTTCCCACGTTTAACATATGTCATTTTCCATCATTGTTTTGAATCTTTATTGTTTTCGATGATTTCCTCACATCTTCATCATATTTCATGATTTTCATCCTATTTCATGATTTTCAAATAGTTTTCATCATATGTCATCAAACCCATCACCTTCCATAGCTTTCATTATTCATCATGAGGGTCCAAGAGCCAAGAGCGACGACAGATACGAGGATTATTGCCCTGACCCCTCGCAATCCTTCTGACTGTCGACACTGTCTAAGTCAACCAACTGCTGCACGTAAAATTTGCGTGCCG